TGTCATTATCCCAGAGTTCGCAATTTGTAGCCTGGCTGCAGTGCTTGCAGGGACAACAGAAGCCATTTTCACTCCACTAGAAAGAGTTCAGACTTTGCTACAAGACCACAAGCATCATGACAAATTTACAAACACTTATCAGGCTTTCAAGGCACTAAAATGCCATGGGATTAAAGAGTATTATCAAGGCCTGGTGCCCATTCTTCTCCGCAACGGATCGAGCAATGCCCTGTTTTTTGGCCTTCGAGGCCCCCTTAAGGAGTCCCTGCCTGCTGCAAAGTCTCACAGTGCTCACTTGGTCAATGATTTCTTCTGTGGAGGCCTACTAGGTGCCATGTTGGGATTCTTGTTTTTTCCAATTAATGTTGTAAAGACCCGCATGCAGTCTCAGACTGGTGGGGAATTTCAGTCTTTCCCCAGGGTTTTCAAAAAAATCTGGCTAGAACGGGACAGGAAGTTGGCAAATCTTTTCAGAGGTGCCCATCTGAATTACCACTGGTCCCTCATCTCTTGGGGCATAATCAATGCAACATACGAGTTCTTGTTAAAGGTTATATGAAAGAAAGCATCAGTTATGTAAGTGCCACTTATCAGCTGACCAGACCTAAGAAGAAAATGGCTTGGTCTGGTTCCCAGTTGATTAAATAACAAGTTGGTGTCAGAAGTCCAGGGCACCATGAATTAACGGGCAAAAGCCGTTTTCCTCATGCACCAACAATAACAGAATAAAAGGTTTGAATAGGAAATGTAAAGGTTTTTGTTTTTTCCTATCATTACCTGGGAGCGTTAGACTCTTGGTCTGATTAATAGCTGTCTCTTGGTTGATGACCTTTGACAGGGAACCTGATAGCCAAGATAAAAGACTGGTTTGGTTATTGTTTTTTTCCAAAAACAGGCTTCTAAACCTCTGTATTAAAATAAAGTGGCCATGACTAGCTAGAGAAGAGACTTTCATTAGCTGGTGACTTCTCAGGCTTATTTTTTGTTACTCCATTGTTTCTCTGCATCCTCATTAAACTTGAGCATATACATAGCAGGACAAAGGAGTAGAACCAAGAAGAAAAACCGCTTCATAGGCACAGGCTTCTTATGGTAAACTGCACTTATTAGCTTTTAAGCTTAAGGACCTCTTGAAATAGTCACTTTTTCTGTTGAGACTTGATAGAATCCGGCAGCTAAAGTTTCTGTTTTGCTTTCTAAGTTTGTCTTTTTAAGTGTTAACTTTAAACTCTTCCAAAATTCTCTTGTGTTGATTCCACTTGCTGTATTGCCAAAAGACAAAGAGACTAAAGTTTTGTTACAGGAATCCCATCATGTTGAGTTCTGTACTAACTGCTTGTAGAGCAAACTGTTTCTCGCACTGACTTACTGGTGCCGACTCATCAAGGAGCTTTGGGTTATTTCGTTCATTTTTCCTGTGGACACTTAGGGGCTTTTAAAACCTCCCTCCCCTGGATCATGAATGTTCAAGTATCTTGTTCTCTTGAAACTCTCCTTGAAAGACACAAACTTTTATAACTTTTGAAAACCCAGTGAGAACCCTGGGGGGTTTGGTTTTCTTGCTTCTCGGTGATTTCCCATTTCTGGTGTCTGAATGTTACAGGAGGAAAACTCAAAGCTACTCAGGACAGTGTCCACACAGGGTTACCGAGCCTTCCTTCACTTTTGGGAATAGAGATAACTATTAGGATTTGACATTTTAGAAAACACATTTTAACAACTGTGCTTTAAAGTAGTGAGTTTGGGATTATAAAATCTGTAACAAGATTTTTGAAAGTTACATTAAATTCAGGTATTTGTAACACCCAGGTAGCACACTCGTGGCTTACCTGACACAAACAAAGACTTCTATGTCAAAGGAAGCCGTTTTTAGCACCTCACCCTACCCCACTGCCAGGTATATAATGGAAAAAAGATGGATACAGTGATTAAAAAATAGCATCACATAAGAAGCATCTTGGGGGGAAAAATGGTTTACTGATCTTTTTAAAAAACCCACTTGTGTAAATATAGGTAAAACTGTTTTCCAGCATCTGGCATTGTATAGATTTGTTTCTCTCCATCGTTTGATTTTTCTGGGTAACTGTGTGAGTATTGCATATACCCACCAGCACAAAATCAGGGCCTCAATCGTGAGTTGACTCTGTAGGCAGATAGTATAAAAAAAAAGTGATTTACCTCCAAATACAGTGTGGCTCATTAAAGTGAACACTCCCAGCTGGTAAGGGTGAGGCGGTCCTCAGGCTTAGCAGAGATGAAGCTCAGCGGCTTTGCTGCATCTCTGCTTGAGACCAACACGGTAGGAATGGCAGTTTGCCATAGAAACCAAGGTGCAGAGTTAAGGGTTTCTAAAACCAGTTTGACACCAAATAAGTGCTAGCAGCGTCCTTTGACCTAGCGTCTGACCTGAACGAGGAGGATGCTTTGGGCCTGACCCCCTCACATGAGTCAGTCCCTCGGTGGTCGTGGATGGCAGGTTAGGCCCTGGCCCTGGAATAGACTCCTTTGGGGCGTTAGATTTTCAGGGCTTCCTTTTGTCTTTACACTCCATGCAGGTGATACAAATCTAAAGCACTCTATAATATACAAATGAAGTAAATTCTAAGAATGCTTTATGCTGTGTCAAATATATGTGACATTGAAAACAATAAATATTTTCACTGATTTTAACATAAAAAAAAGAAGTCTTAGTGATAGCAATAAGACAAGAGAAGGAAATAAGAGATATCAAAATTGGCAAAGAGGAGGTAAAATTATCTCTCTATGCAGATGATATGATAGTATACCTAGAAAACCCTAAAGACTCAGCAAGAAAACTACTGAACATAGTTGACTAATTCAGCATAGTAGCAGGATACAAGATCAACACACAAAAATCAGTTGGATTTCTCTACAGTGACAAAGAGAATACAGAGCTGGAGCTAAGAAAAGCAATATCCTTCACAATAGCTAATCACAAGATTAAATACTTGGGAGTAAATCTAACTAGAAACACCAAACACCTATTCAAAGAAAATGACAAAACATTACTACAAGAAATAAAATGACTAGTGGCAAGAAGCTGTGCTGTAATCCCAAAGGTGCATGGTTTGAATCCACCAGATGCTCTACTGGATAAGGAGGGACAATCTTCTCATGTACCGATCAGATCTGATTTTATGGTACACACAAAAAAAAATAATGAAATAATTTTTTTTATAAAAAAGACATAGAGAAATGGAAGAATATACCATGTTCTTGGATAGGAAGGCTCAATATTGTGAAAATGACAATTCTACCAAAGGCAATCTACAAGTTCAATACAATCCCAACACAGATACCAATTTCATTCTTCAATGAGACTGAGAAGGCAATTTCCAGTTTCATCTGAATGAAAAAAGACCCCAAATAAGCAAAACACTCCTGGAAAAAAAAAAGAGAAACAAGGTAGGCAGCATCTCACTCCCTGATCCCAAATACACAGCCGTGGTGGTAAAAATAGCACAATACTGGTACAATGACAGACACATAGATCCATGGAATAGAACTGAAAACCCAGAAATCAGCTCATCTACCTATGGTGAACTGATTTTTTACAAGAAGATGAAATCAGTTAAGTGGGGAAATGAAAACCTTTTTAAAAAATAGTGTTGACAAAATTGGAAAACTCTCTGTAGAAAACTCAAGCAAGAACCAACTCAACGTGGATCAAGGCCCTAAGAGTAAAACCAAGGAATATAAATTTCATCAGAGAAAATCTTGGAAGAACTGTAGAAGTCCTAATCCACAACATGAACTATCTCCCAAGCATACTGAAAACCCTATAACGAGGAGAGTATAAAACAGATGAATGGGATCTTCTAATAATCAAATCCCTAGGCACATACAAAAACTTTTCTAACAGGGTAAAAAGAAAAGCCACAGACTGGGGGGAAATGGACTCGTTAACAGAAATGAAGCTGGAGATAGAAAGATAGCATTATGTCTGTTCAATAATTTATTCATTGCAAATATCTTCTATAAGAAACACAAATGCAGAATACACACATGGATTCTATCTCATGGTATGCATAGGAATCAGATCTATTACATCTGTGGGAAAAATTCCTGGAGAAACTCAATACCAGCTGTGAAAACTAGGCCAGGTGCTGACTGTGGAACAGTCAATAACTCATATGCAAGTTCAAGCTGAAGCCAAAGATAATGAAATACACAGGAACCAAAATTTGACCTTGATTCTATCACACTCTAATTTCAAAACCATATCATGAACAGGTTTGAGAGCTTGAACACTAATGGGCAAAGACCAGATGAGCTGTGGGAGGATATCAAGAATATCATCCATGAAGAATGCAAAAGGTCATTACAAAGAGGAGGAAGAGAAGACCAAGATGGATGTTAGAAGAGACTCTGAATATTTCACTACAATTCCAAGAAGCCAAAGCAGAGGGAAGAAATCAAGAAGTTAAGGAGCTGAAAAAAAGATTTCAAAGGGCAGCTCAGGAAGACAACGTATGACAACGAAATGTGCAAAGAGCTGGAGTCAGAAAATCAAACGGGTTGAACTCACTTGGTATTTCTTAAACAGATGGAACTTAAGAACAAATTTAAACCTCGAGTTGCAACTTAAGCATGGTTAGGCAGAATATTAAATGATCCAGGAAGCATTAAAAGAAGATGGAAGGAGTATACACAGTCACTGTAACAAGAGGAATATTGGGTGATACAGAATAATTTCATGAAACAACATATGATCAAGAGCATATGGTTATGAAGGAACAAGTTCAAGCCTCTCTGAAAGAATTGGCAAAAAAACAATGTTACTGGAATTGACAGCATACTAATTGACATATTTCAACAAACAGACTCTGCCCTTGACACACTCTCCCAGTAGTGCCAAGAAATCTGGAGGATAATCACCTGGCCAACTGACTGGAGGAGATCCATATTTGTTCCCATTCCAAAGAAAAATGATCTGACAGAGTGCAGAAATTATTGAACAGTTTCATTAATATCAGATGCAAGCAAGATTATGCTGAAAATTATCCAAAAACCGACCAGAACAGCACATTAACAGAGGCTGGGTTTAGAAGAGGCTGTGGTACTAGGGATATTGTTATTGTTGTTGTTGTTGATGATGATGATGATTGCCATTGAGTCAAGCACGACTCATAGCAACCATATGAACAAAATACCTGAAGCCTTTATATACTTGTTGTCATTTATCAAAGTTCATAGAGCTTCTAGAGGTGTGTTGTTTAGGAAGTGGATACCACTCCTGCTTCCAAACATTGTCCACCATGGATAACTGTTATGGCCTTGACACTCCAATGGCACAAGGTTTAGCATCACAGCAACCCCAGGTCATCTATGAAGAGCAAACTGACAGAAAAGTGCTGTACCACTTAAAAGAATGTTCCTCCCCAGTCACAAAAGGACAAATATTACATGATGTCACTGTTGTAGAATGGGACTGTCCTTGGGGTTGGGGAGAGACTGAGTAAGATGGGTTCAATAATGTATACTGCACTGAAACA